GTGGGGGAAAGCAAGCGACGGAGGGGGGGGTGGAGTGGGTGGGGCTCTGGGGAAGGGGCAAGGCCTTGGGGGATCGGGCGGGGTAGATCCTGGGTTGCCCTTAAATTCAAAAAGTGAATTTGGGTGTAAAAAGGTTGGAGACCACTGGTTTAGCACAATGTCAGATATCTCCTGTTTGCTAAGGTACAACTAGGGTTTGGGTCCCGCATAATCAACAGAGACTTCCTACCCATGGACTTCACTCACACACTGATCCTATTCCACACAAACCAGCTGCAACTTGCAAACTGATCCCACTCCCTTACCCTCACTGTGAGGATTTCTTCTGAGTCGTTGTCTTCACTTGCTCCTCACTGAGCCCTGGAGATCACTAACGTGTATCCCACCAGCGTGCTGACAATCCTCAGGGCAAGAACTCCCCCTTGTGTGCCTTTACTGACACAGCCTACAACACTGAGCACTGACATGGGGCAGACTCGGTCCCTCAGGGGTCACCTGCACCTCTCTGCATGCCACAGTCACCGCTCTGCCAGGCTGTTCCAACTGCTCCCTCCACCATCCGATTACAGCTACAGCTGGCACAGAGCACACAGCTGCAGGGCATGCGGATAAATGCTGGTATTCTAGTCTGTAGAGCACAACGCAAAAATTGGCACGTCCTTAGTCCTTCCTCGTATCTGTTATACGTGTTGTTTTAGTACTTCTTATCTATTACAGATTCAGAGATTTTTAAGCTCAGAAGGGATGATTTGGTCACCTAGTCTGATCTCCTGCATCACACAGACTGTAGAATTTCCTTCAGTTACTGCTGTACTGAGCAGCTGAACACCTTGTGTTTGAAGACTTGAATAGATGGAGAATATCCCAGTTCCTGGGGTAGTTTGTTAATCTTTACACCACCCGTAGAGAACTATTCCCAGTGGCTCTTACCAGCTGCAGGGATCGGGATGGGAGCAGAGTTAAGGTGGCAATGCAGGGATGGTGTGTACATTTACTGTTCATTTTCTGGTTCGCAGAGGTTTAAGTTTAGCCACCGACCATATGGTGAAAGGCAAGAGACAGCACTGGGCACTCTTAGCTCTGCAGTAAAGTAGTTTCTGGGCATTTAGTTTACTTCATCTTTGTAGTGGACTTTTTGCCACTATAACTGTTTCTACACTCGTCCTTTTGCACGTATAGCTGTGTGTGGGGGGGGAGGGGGCATAGGCGCCGACTTCATGGGTGCTCCGGGGCTGGAGTACCCACAGAAAAAGAAAAGTGGGTGCTCAGCAGGCACCGGTGGCCCCACCGATCAGCAATAAGAAGAGCCCATCAAGGGGGTCTGCGTCTGCGTGAGGCTTTGAAAACAAGTTTCAGCAATGAGCCAAAGTAATGTGACGCTTATCTGGGTTGTTCCTTACCAAACTATCCCCTCCATTGCATTTTTCCCCCTTTAAACTCCACCCACCATGACAAAGGAATAAAGGGCCTTTTTCCTCAATCTGTTTTGCTTTATTATGCACACAGACAGCAAGGAAAAGTAAGATAACCTTGGGCATAAAGGCTGATAACATTGTGAGGAGAGAAACAAGGAAAGCTTCTTTGCAGATGCAGTGCAATAACCGTCAAAGGTCTGGGAATCATAGGACTGGAAGGGACCCTGAAAGGTCACCTAGTCCAGTCCCCTGCACTCATGACAGGACTGAGTATTATCTAGACCATCCCTGAGAGGTGTTTGTCCAACCTGCTCTTAAAAATCCCCAATGATGGAGATTCCACAACCTCCCTGGGCAATTTATTCCAGTGCTTAACCACTCTGACAGTTGGGAAGTTTTTCCTAATGTCCGACCTAAACCGCCCTGGCTGCAATTTAAGCCCATTGCTTCTTGTCCTATCCTCAGAGGTTAAGAAAAACAATTGTTCTCCTTCCTCCTTGTAACAAACTTTTACGTGCTTGAAAACTGTTATCGTGTCCCCTCTCAATCGTCTTTTCTCCAGACTAAACAAACCAATTTTTTTCAATCTTCCCTCATAAGTCATGTTTTCTAGACCTTTAATTATTTTTGTTGCTCTTCTCTGGACTTTCTCCAATTTGTCCACATCTTTCCTGAAATGTGGCGCCCAGAACTGGACACAATACTCCAGTTGAGGCCTAATCAGTGCGGAGTAGAGCAGAATTACTTCTCGTACCTTGCTTACAATACTCCTACTAATACATCCCAGAATGATGTTTGCCTTTTTTTGTAACAGTGTTACACTATTGACTCATATTTAGCTTGTGATCCACTATGACTGCCAGATCCCTTTCTGCAGTGCTCCTTCCTAGGCAGTCATTTCCCATTTTGTGTGTGTGCAACTGATTGTTCCTTCCTCAGTGGAGTACTTTGCATTTGTCCGTATTGAATTTCATCCTGTTTACTTCAGACCATTTCTCCAGTTTGCCCAGGTCATTTTGAATTATAATCCTATCCTCCAAATCACTTGCAACCCCTCCCAGCTTGGTATCCTCCGCAAACTTTATAAGTGTACTTTCTATGCCATTATCTAAACCATTGATGAAGATATTGAACAGAACCAGACCCATAACTGATCCCTGGGGACCCCACTCGTTGTGCCCTTCCAGCATGACTGTGAACCACTGAAACTACTCTCTGGGAACAGTTTTCCAACCAGTTTTGCACCCACCTTACAGTAGCTCCATCTAGGTTGTGTTCCACTAGTTTGTTTATGAGAAGGTCATGTGAGACAGTATTAAAAGCCTTACTAAAATCAAGATGTACCACATCTACTGCTACCCCCCTATCCACAAGGCTTGTTACCCTGTCAAAGAAAGCTATCAGGTTGTTTTGACACAATTTGTTCTAAACAAATCCATGCTGACTGTTACTTACCATCTTATTATCTTCTAGATGTTTGCAAATTGATTGCTTAATTATTTGCTCCATTATCTTTCTGGGTAAAGAAGTTAAGCTGACACAGTCTATAATTTCCCCGGTTGTCCTTATTTCCTTTTTTATAGATTGGCACTGTATTTGCCCTTTTCCAGTCTTTTGGAATCTCTCCCATCTTCCATGATTTCTCAAAGATAATTGCTAATGGCTCAGATATCTCCTCAGTCAGCTCCTTGAGTGTTCTAGGATGCATTTCATCAGGCCCTGGTGACTCGAAGACATCTAATTTATCTAAGTAATTTTTAACTTGTTCTATCCCTATTTTAGCCTCCTATGATCCTACCTCATTTTCACTGGCATTCACTATGTTAGACAACCAATCACCACCAACCTTCTTGGTGAAATCCGAAACAACAAAGTCATTAAGCACCTCTGCCATTTCCACTTTTTCTGTTAGTTTTTCCCCCATCATGGATTAATGGGCCTACCTGTCCTTTGTCTTCCTCTTGCTTCTGATGTATTTGTAGAATGTTTTCTTGTTACCCTTTATGTCTCTGGCTAGTTTGATCTCGTTTTGTGCCTTGGCCTTTCTAATTTTGTTCCTACATACTTGTGTTATTTGTTTATATTCATCTGACCTAGTTTCCACTTTTTTTAGGACTCTTTTTTTTTATTTTCAGATAATTGAAAATTTCCTGGGTTAAGCCAGGATGGTCTCTTGCCATCCTTCCTATCGTTCCTACGCAGAATGGGCACCTTCTGTTCCTTGTACCATGCCCTAGTGTTGAGTGCAAGGGATAGCGAACTTTCCCCACTCCTGTCTCATAGACTGTTTGTGGGAGGAGTATTAAGAACTGGTCGATGCTGGCAGGCAGTTCTACATAGGTTGCAGAGTGACTCTAGCATCCAACTGCCTTTCTTGAAGCTCAACCAGATGCCTCAACATGTCTGATTGGTCCTTTATAATCCACAGCATCTCATTCTGCATGGCACGTTCCTGTTCCCAGCATGCTCGCCTGTCCATATCCAGTTTCTCAGAGAGTGTAATCCTCTATACTCTGAACTCTGTCTCAGCTGTCCCGGAGGCGTGCATTAATTTGATGAACGTGTCCTCCCGAGTCTTCTTTTTCTGCCCTCTAATCTGGGAAAGTCTCTGTCCCAGTGTGGAGGATGCACCGCAGGACAAGGTTTCCACTGCAAGGTATGCAAAGCACAAGGGAAGCACTGACAGTGTCTACATTGTTTCTGGTGCAATGTTGGGTTGTTTTTTTTAAAGCATCCCCCAATATACACTTCACTGCAAGCCACAACGTATTCACAATGCCTAGTTATTGCAAGAGTCGGTTTGCTGCTCCAGCCGTGGTGAGTATGGCCATGAAGCATGGGCGCAGGTCTTGTGCTACTACTTCTGTAAAGACATCATCAGGAGCACAGCTGGGCTCTTGAGAAATACTCCCTTTCCCCTCGCAACCTGGACCATGTAAAGCTCCTCTTTTTTACAAAGCGTCACCAAGTGGGGAAGGAGGCACACTCAGGAAGCCCTCCCCCCACCCTTTTTTTCAATGCTGCTTGCAATACACGGTGATCCTTTCCAACCACAGCCATGGTATATTAGGGAAAGCGTGGTTGTGGGACCTGGATTTCACCAAATGGGAGGTGGATTATTTGTTGAATTTTTTGCGGTTTAAGGACTAGCATGAAAACTTCCCCCAGGTGACCCTATGCGATATCAATCTCCTGAGGGGAACAGAGGCAGCCAGGGAGCAGATGCTGAAAACATCTGGGTACAGACTTGGTCCTTATGCCCTGTGCTGCAATGATGCCAGCAGAGTTAATACGGGAGTGGCACGGGAAAGTGTTCTACCGTGGTGCAAGAAATAAGGCAGCCCTTCCCAGAAACCTTCTGCAAAGGATTGCAGAGTTACCTCCATGAAAGCGCCCTAGAGATCTCCATGGAGGATTCCCAGGCCATCCTTGTGCACATAAACCATCTTTTTCTGAGAGCAATGTCTGCGTAACTGGTGTGGCCACCAGGAAGCAGATACCCACGACACCTCCTCATTTCTTCACATTAAACATCAAATACAATAGCATGTAACCTCTTCTGTTTGATTGGAAATGTGTACTCACCAGAGGCGCCTTCCCTGGCATCATGCTCGGCTGCTACCTGATCCTGTGAAGGAATGGGCTCCAGAGTTTAAAACGGTGCTTGTCTCTTGGGCAGAATGGATCCACCGCTCGTCTGTCTCCCATTCTCCTCCTCATCAAAAATGTGCTCATTGTTGCCCGAGGTAGCCCAGGACTCCTGAGAGGTAATTAACAGAAAATTAAAATTCAAAAGTTCCTGGGGCTTTAACGGGAGTGGCTGCTTGCTGTGTACCTGGCTGATGTGCTATGGAGTTGAAAATGCTCTCCAGAGCAGTCACAGCGCAGCACTGTGCGACACCTCCTGGAGGCCAATTCATTTGAATTACACAACGCAGTGTCTACACTATCCCCATGTCCAGCCGTGGATGTTGAATCAAGTGCTGCGCCTCTCTCGGAGGTGGAGTACAGAAGTTGACTTTACAGGCGACTTAGGTCTGAGGAAGGGACTCGGTTGTATAGACACATACCTTATTAGATCAAATTACCAGGGCTTCTGTCGACCTAAGTTTGTAGTGTAGACCAGGCCTGAGTGTCTCCCTGGGAAATCCAGTCCCTGTTCCACTGGACGCTCACAGTACTCACAGATTCACAGTTATACCAGTTTCCCAGTTACATTTCCAATCACCGCTCTGATTAACATCTATCTCTTAAGTGCTAGTGTGGACATAGGCTTTATTGGTAAAACTTTTGTCAGTCAGGGTGTGAAAAAAACACACCAATGTAAGTTTCACCGACAAAAGCGCCGGTGTGGACAGCGCTATGTCGGCAGGAGATGCTCGTGGGAGGTTGAATGATGTCGATGGGAGAGCTATCTCCTGTTGGCATAGAGCGGCTAGATGGGAGACTTTCAAGTGGTGCAGCTGTGCTGCTATACAGTCTGTCGTGGATGGTGTTTGGTCCTGCTGTGAAGGCAGGGGACTGGACTCGATGACCTTTCAAGGTCCCTTCCAGTTCTATGAGATCGCTATAGCTCCATATTAAAAAAAAAAGTGTAGACTTAGTCTAAGGTGTGATTAGACTGAAAACAAATAAAGGTTTATTTAATAAAGTCTAGTGATTCAAGTGATAAGTAGAAGTATTGGGGAAAAATTGTTACACATCAAGTACAATCAGAGCCCTCTGTCTAGATCCTAGAAGTACAGAACTGGAGCCTTTCGTACGTTCTACAGCAATGCTCACGCAAAGTCCTTCCAGCGTTTTACAGCCGGGCTGGGCTGTGATCTTCTGGAAGATGCAGGGTGTACCTGTGTACAGCCAAATATACCTTCACATGCCATGAGCTGACCTCATAAACAGGATCCTGCTGCTTATTATTTTGTGTAAATTTCCTCTCTTATATTGCTTTGTTGTGAGAACAGCCACTCCTGGCCAGTTAACACATTGTGTGCAGCACCTACCTCACTCTCAGCTGCACAGTATTGAGTGCTGCTAGTCAATCACTCATGAATTACACCACAGGAGAACACCTGCAAATTCTCTAGTCCCAGACTTTCTCCCTGGCACTCTCCAGCACATTACTAAACAATAAAAGGTCATATAAAGTCTGTCACTTCATCAGTGGGAAATGACATGCACCAGGCTTGTTATCCCAAGTGGACTTTCTCACACACTTTAATCCAAACACGCTAGTTCTATGAAACAATAAAATAACTTCATTAACTACAGAAAGAAAAGATTTTAGGTGACTACAAGTAATGAGGCATAAAAGTCAGAATTGGTTACCAAAGAAATAAAAGATAAAATACTAACTTCTAACTTAAGCTAAAACAGATTCACAGTGAATGTCTTTCTCTCACTATATGCTGTGACAAACTGGGGTTCCTTTCAGCCGGGACCCTGCCTCCCCAATTTCAGTTCTTCAGGAGTAGTTGTGATTAGCAGAGACAAAAGGGGAGAGAGAGTCTCAAGCATTTTCCCCACCTCTTCTTCTTATTCAGTCCTTTGTGCTAGAAACATCCTCATTTTTCAGCTGAGTCATGGTGACGGGCTGTCTGTTGTGGATCTGAGCATCAAGCCATCCCTGTGATGGAATGTAAATGTCTAGTTCACACCTTCCCCCTGCTGGAGAATGGCCATTTAATCAGGTGATAGCTTTGCTGTCTCTGAGGAACTGGTCTCTGGCTGTTCTGCAGAATTCTAGCATTTTTTCAGAAACACCATACAGTAAAATCTCATATGTTTACAGACACAGTGTTGCTACACATATTTTAACAAGACAGTAAAGTTCAACATATATTCAGTTTCCAAATTCTGCCTGACAAGGCAGACTTTGTACAAAATATATCATAATGTTGCGAAAGAGTGACTATACGATTACAGACTGTCACAGTGTCTGTCTGTGTGTGCTCCCAGTATATATGTGAGTAATTCAATCCTTCATAAGCAGAGTGTTCTGCACCTTTCAGAACCTGGGGAGGGGGCCCTGGGATTTCACGGGTTTACTAAGCACCCAGTTAATTTTGTCATTATTTTTTATTACAAAGTCTTAGGAATTCACCTGCTCTCATTTGTTTTCTTTCATCTGAGCAGTTTCCAAACCTGATGTGATCTCCCAGCTGGACACAAGGGGAAGAGCCATGGGTCCCAGACCTCCAGGGTTCAGGGGAAAGAGAGATCCTGAGACGTCCCTGCACAGGTGAGGAAACATTAAACTAACTCCGAATCGGTAAGTGCCTGATGGAAAAATCTGGGATACCCTACAATGACCTTGGGAGCTCTCTGAGTTCAGGAGGATAGTCCCCAGCAGGTGTTGTATCCTCAGGGTATATATAGCTTATGGCTTCCTACAGATCCTAACTGACACATGTCAGTAGCTTTCCACCTTCCCACTGATTCTTTGGATTTGATAGGAAGACAGAACTGATCCCCTCCTCTCTCCCCTTTTGGGGAAGAGTTAGGGGAATTCACTTCCTGGTTTTTGACATCTCTCCAGCACTTCTTTTGGTTTGCCCTTCCCTTTTCCATCCCTGTTTGAGGTTTCTCTCTCTGTCCCAGCAGGTGAGGCGACGGTGAGTGAGAATGAGGAGCAGAAGTCTCAGCAGGAAGATGCTGTGCAAGTTGCACCACAGGGAATATTATCAAAAATAACTAAAGGGAACATGTCCAGGAATCATGAGCAGGGAAAATCCGTGAGATTCAGCACAGGCCAGAGAGAAAGCAGGGAGACCAGCCAGGAGAGAAATTTAATAAAATTATTTCCTGTCAGGGAACTCACAGGGACCTCAAAGAAACCACAACCCAACAGAGAATCCTGATGGGAAGGAGTTAAAAAAAATACACCGTGTGTGGGAAAAAATTCAATGATGGCTCAGACCTTATTAAACATCAGAGAATTCACGCAGCTGCGAAACCCGTTGAATGGTGTGAACGTGGGAAAAGCTTCACGGAGAGCTCAGAACTTACTGCACATCAGAGAATCCACACACGGGAGAGGCCCTATGAATGCAGTGAGTGCAGGAAAACCTTCACTCAGTGCTCACACTTCATTAGACATCAGAGAATTCACAAGGGAGAGAGACCCTATAAATGCTCTGAGTGCAGGAAAACCTTCACTTCCAGCTCAAGCTTATTAAACATCAGAGAATCCACATAGGGGAGTGGCCCTATGAATGCAGTGAGTGCGGGAAAACCTTCACTCGCAGCTCATACCTCACTAGTCATCAGTGTGTCCATACAGGAGAGGCTCTATAAATGCTGTGAGTGTGGGAAAAGCTTCACTGAGAACTCAAACCTTGCTTGACATCAGAGAATTCACACACGTGAGAAACGCTATGAATGCTGGGAGTGTGGGAAAAGCTCCATTTGGAGCTCAGCCCTTAACTATCATCAGAGGCTCTCCAAGGGAGCTAAACACCATGAAAACCTCTAGGGCCATCCCAACATTTGTTCTTTCATACTTTTGCTAATTCCCACGTAGTAACCTTTAAAGCTGTTTGAACCAGTTGCATCAGTGTTATCCCTCAGCTTGTCCCGGCGGGTTGCCCATTTTTGTCTTTTGCAGCTCTCCCTTTTCTGGGGTGGACACGATTGTCCTTTCTATCCACTCCATCATTGTCCCATGAGTAATGGGAGTTTGTCTCTCCTTCCACGAAACAAGGAGCATCACATTTATACCGTTCCTCTTATTGCACAGTTATTTTTAGAGTCACCAATGATAGATTGTATCATTCTCAGTTGTTTGCACATTGCTCTGGAGTGTGCTCAATGGCATTTTTGGACCTTTTTTTCCATTTATGATGTATTTAAATACAATGAAGAGAAGCAGGGGCAGGAAAAAATTGTCATTTCAGCCTCTGACACTGGAAGGAGATGGGGTGACTCAGCGGTTTCTTCCTTCCCCATCACCCCAGAACTGTTTCCTCCTGTCTGAGGCAGGCAGAGTTTATCTTCTTCACATTCTGTCCCCCCACCTCTCAGAGTGTCATGTGGTGCAGTGTTCTCAGTTGTCTGTGCTTGGAGATGACGCTTTGACTTGTTTAATCCTATACCAGAGTCGCTATGACTGGAGACGAAAGGGTCAAAGACCTGCAAGGGGAATTCAAATGGATCCCAAATGCAGCGTGATGATTTTTGGAGTTTGAATTCCAGTTTCCATCTATTGGCAAAGCCACTTGGGGTGTTTTTCTCCAATGAGGACGTTGGATTGCTAAAACATTTGTAACTAATGCGATTCAATAATGAGACCGTGCTGAGTGAAGCAGGTTTGAATGGATCAGAGGAGAATGTGATGGGAGAATCTATTATCCTAATTCTGATTCATCAGATGTAACCTGCTCTGGAATTTCACTTGACTCTTTCATTGTCATGTAGTCTATCTCTTTGTGAGGTGGGTGTGACACTATGCCCCATATTCTTCATAGAAATATTGTTATAATTATAGCATATCTAAGATGTATTTTATGCAAGGTGGGTCATGTGAGGTATTATTGGAAAGGTTGTGATTAATTGAATGTGATTATCCTATGTATGCATGTATCCTTTTTGTATCTAAAGTTAGGAATATTGACTACACATCTGTACTACAAAAGTGTTTGCACCTTGGGAACGCCCACCAGACAGAATGCAATCAGTCTGGATCGGCCTTTAGGGAGAACAATTGGTCTTTGAAGATGCTAATCTCCCACCTTTCTGAGAAGCTTTTCTGGGATGCCACAAACAACCTCCAACTCATGGCTGCTTTGACACTGCAGGGTCATGTGATCACGTCACCTGGTACTGGACTCCATGATAGAATACCAGTATTTTTTCCACTAGGGGTGGGAAACCACACTCAAAAACAAAGGGTTCCCGCCCTATGTAAAACCTATTTAAGGCTGGGGAGTGGCTTAATCAGTGTTCATTCTTCACTGAATCCCCGGCCAGGGTGACTGTTGGAAACATCTAAAAAACAAAGACCCAGGGGGCAGAGGGGAGAAGGCCTGAGCCCAGGCTGGGAAGGTGTCTGGCCTGTGAAAGAAATACCTGGAGTTTTAAGCTGCAAGCAAGAGCAGTTTGTTTTCAAGAAACTCTGCAACCTGCTTAAAACAACATTTAGAGTGAGAAATTACCACTTGTAGCCAGTTTCTTTAGTGTATTAATCTTAGTTTGCGTGTTTGTTTTATTTGCTCAGTAAGCTAATTTGATCTGTTTGCTAACCCTTATAATCACTTAAAATCTATCTTTTGTAGTTAATGAACTTGTTTTGTTTTCTCTAAACCCAGTTTGTGGAATTCATAACTGGGGGCAAAAAGCTGTGCATATCTCCCTCCACACTGAGGGGGAGGGATCAAATTTCAATAGCTTACACTGGACAGTGCAAGACAATACGATTTTGGGTTTGCACTCCAGAGAGGGGTGTGCACTTGAGTTCCTTAGCTGAAGCCTTCCCGTGCAGTGCTGATTTCAGTGTCTTTCTGCAGCTGGATGTGCCCCTACCTGTGTGTGCTGGAGGAGGCTTGAGGGCCTGGCTCAGCAGGACAGTGTAAGGGAGTCCAGGCTGGTGGAAAAGGTGGGCTCAGTGGTATCCCAGTATATCAGGTGGCACCGTCACAGTGAGTTTCTCTCTTTCCTAAAGGCTGTTTGGTCGCCCAATTGGATATTAATTTAGTCTGACAGCATGTAACTCAGATTTATTGGCGACTTCGAGACATTTTGCTAAAGTCATTGTTTCTTGCTTTAGCTTTGCTCCCCCCCCCCCATCCCTCCATGATGGAGTGGAGAAAGTTCAAGTGCAGTTCTGTCAACAGGAGAGAACTCTCCAATTTACTGGCCATGCTAACAAAGAAAGAGTAGTGATTAAAATCTCCACTGGGAAATGGTGAACAACAGCAGAACCCCAACTAACTGGAGCAAGTGCAGATGTTCACCATGGAGTTCAATTGTTTAAGTCCATATTCTCTCAATGGTCTGAGGAGGGAATTCCACCCTAAGTGATTTTGAACTAGGCAAAATGCCCATGTATTTGGTTCCCAAAGCATGTGTAACCCAGGCCCTACAGAAGATCTTCTCTAGCTGATCCTTTGGTATGGGAAGTGCTGCCCTTTATGATGCAGACGTTGAGGAAATAAACGTGTTTTTTTGTTTTGTTGAATTTATCCTTTGTAGGTGTTACAAATGCGTATAAAATGAAATGAGTGTTGAAAATGAAATAGTTTAAGAAAAATAGCTATTTTTTAATAGAAACTCCAACTCTGGTAACTAAGGCCTGGTCTACACTACGAGTTTAGGTCGACTTCAGCAGCGTTAAATCGAATTAAGCCTGGACACGTTCACACGACGAAGCCCTTTCTTTCGACTTAAAGGGCCCTTTAAACCGGTTTCTTTACTCCATCTCCGACGAGGGGATTAGCGATAAAATCGGCCTTAGCGGGTCAGAATTGGGGTAGTGTGGATGGAATTCAACGTTAATGGCCTCCGGGAGCTATCCCACAGTGCTTCATTGTGACCGCTCTGGACAGCACTGTCAACTCAGATGCACTGACCAGGAAGACAGGAAAAGCCCCGCGAACGTTTGAATTTCATTTCCTGTTTGCCCAGCGTGGAGAGCACAGGTGACCACGCAGAGCTCATCAGCACAGGTAACCATGGATGGAGTCCTAGGATCGCAAAAGAGCTCCAGCATGGACCG